ATCATTTCCTAAATATATCATCTGTATTGGAAGCACTTAACAAGTTCTGGATTGACAGAGTGTATGGATCAGTGAAGCTGGAGACCATTTATCTTTTAAATTATCTAAACATATTCTTCCCACTGTGTCTACTTTGGTTGTCATGTTTGGGTCACGGCATACACTGTACAGGTCTCCTGATATTTTGCTGAAAATACTTAATATTTTATGAGGCATCCTTAAGGAGGAGAAAGACATCAGAAATACTCTCTCTGATTCCCTTTCTGTCTTGACAAGTACAGGGGTGGATTTCCAGTGGCAATTACAGACTCAGAGGGCAGGAAAGGGTCAGAGCTTATGTCCAAAATGCCAGGCTGATCCAGGCCTCATGTGAAGATTATTGGTATGCCATTTGCAAAACTGACTCTTTCATAAGACCAAATTTATATGGAATGTCTTTGTGTGGCATTTCTAACCCCACTCCAGTTGCCATTTCATCACATACCCCTTGAAGGAGACATCTTGACACCATAACTGGTCCATCTGAAAAAAAATGTACATTTTGGTCCTGAAACACAGCCCAGGTAGAAACACTGAAACTGTGTTTCTGAAAGGGAGCAGCAGCTCCCACCATGCATTCTGAGGATGAATTGTGGGCAGTTTCCATGGCCTGAGTCAGAGCAAGGAGCTGGAAGCCATTGACATTCAATGCTTCCCAGTTTTGGAGCCCACAGGCAGAGCTGAGAGCTCTTACCACACAGAGGCAGATCAGAGTATCCTTTGCTGTGTGTTTAGTGTTTCTGTTTTGTGTTTAAAGGATCTCAGACAATTTCAGAGCTGATGGCTGCAGCATCTCCATCCCTGCCTTCACGTGGGCCATGTAACTCGCTGCATAAACCATGTCAGGATGGGTTAGTTACTCTTTGCAAAGCCCTCTCTGAATGCTGAACAGTGCTTGCCTTTTATCTACACCTATTGGTACATACAGATCTCAGATTTAAAAGTCCTGTGTGTGATGTGCCTGCCTTAAGAGGGGCTTTTTGTGTCTTCCAGGAGCTGTGCTCAGCTCAGTCCATTAGGTAAAGTTGCTTGTTCAGTGGAGTCACTTATGATGATTTACACTGGGGTAAGTAAGACTGGAATCTGGGCCTTGATCTTTTTAATGCAAATTCATCAATTCTGTTAGATAAAAGATGAAAGGAATCTATTACATTCTTTAGCTATCCCTTGAAACAAAATCGTTTGATTGGTTCCAGGCAGTAAGAAGTCCCTACTCCTGCAGTTATCTCCAGACATGAAGCTTTGGGTTAGTGACCAAAGCTCTTACTGGAGATATTTATTTTTTCATGGATTAATCACGATTAATGATGAGTGCTAATAATGACAGAAGTGATTTCCAAGTTAAAATGCAAGAATGCAAAACTTAAGGTTAATATGTTCCTCTGGTGTTTGACTGAGCACTAAGTGTTTAAAGACACACACCTTCTTTTACTTCAAAATGTTTTATTCTCCTTTTAAATCCACACATTGATGTTGATCTGACAGTGGTGCAAATGAGAAGGTGACAGAGGTGTCTCTGATGTAAAATCAAAGTGAATTCAGATGCACAGTGCCGACACTGGAGGAGTGTGGAGCACAGAGCACGTAAACATAACAAATAGCTGCACGTGCAAAAGTATAGCAAGTGCCAAATGTCTACAATACTGTGAATTAACTGCTATGACAGGAGATCTTGCAGTGGTGTTCTGAAAGGGAAAGCAGAACTCGATAGCAGAGATCACAAAACCACCCCCTCCCTTGATCTTCAGCTGCCTAAACCAGGAGAGGCAGAATGAGCAGGCTCTGAACAAACAATCTTTTATGGCTGATGGATGTGGCACTGCTTTGTCCAGTAAAATTGCTGATTTACTAATAGTTAAAATATAAATCCTTTTGTGATGACACCAACCTCTCTAACCTGCTAAAGAAAGTGCAAACAGATGGGTATCTGTGTGACTGTGAGTGATGAAACCAGTCTGGAGAAATACCCACAGCTCCTGACGAGAACTGATATTGCAGCGTGCAGGAGCATCACCAGCACCCCCATTAGGGTACATTCATTTTCTTTGTGCCAAGAATATGAGCAATGATACTAGGTGGTTTGATTTAATGGATCTGCCTCTTCTAGCAAAAAAGCAACAGATATTTTATACAAAAGTGAAATGTGCCCAGGGACGCCTGGACAGATTTAAATTCCTCAGGCTTTCCTCTTTATTGCAATGCCAGCAGATTTAAGGGACTTTTGACCCTATGAGTAAATTTTTAAATAAATGTAGGATACCTGCTTTATGGGTCTGAAAGGGACAGGAATAGCTTTTTGTTTCTGATAGGAGAATCTGTTTAAAAAAAAAAAATTACTTCCCTTTATATGTGAAGTTCCATACTGGCTTTTCCTTAAGACTGTTCTGATGTATTTCAGGAAAAATTGCAACCAAGTTTGGTCGGTTTAAAGTGATACAAACTACAGATATAGGCCAGGTAAAATATGTAAGTGAGAACAGAATGAGGCCCGGCATTTTTAGAACAGATAAATGTAGCTCAGAAACTTATTTTTAGAGTTACATAGTTTGCAGTAAGTCAAGTACTTCAAGAGATGAATACCCATCACATATCAATGCTGAGGAAACGGTACTTTGTTGATTATAAATCAAAATTGAAGGTCTTTTTGGGTGCAGCTCATCAAACACTGACTTAGGAAACCATTTTCCTCTGGAATATTTTTCTCCTCAGCAGCCTACAAAGGCAGTTGGGTAATTTTTGTGGTTTCAGTATGAAGAAATACTTATCCTTTAATCCTTAAATCACTGCAATTGAGTATAATTTCACGTCAAAAGCAGCCAGTAAAAGTACAAAATAGGGATTAGCAGGAGTATTTTTAGATTAAAATTACTTGAGTTGGAAAGAAGTGGCACATAATCTCAGTACCTTCACGAGCACTGTAGCAAGCTGAAGAGGATTTGTTCTGTTTCATTTGAAGACTGATGGCATAAGTTACAAGGGAGAGAAGCTATTATTACAACAGGGAGGATTTCACAATAATCATAATCCACAACTGTACATAAATTTAATTGAGAGTTAATTCTTTTTTGTCTGATATCTTTTATTCATCAATGCTATACAATACTTCTGCTTCTACCGGCAAAGCACTTGGGAAGCAAAGTTAAACCCATCATTTTGGCCATAAATTAGGACACTCATAAAGCTGCAACAATTGCTTCCATTTCTAAGTATTAAAACAAATGACTACTCTCATTTAACCTTGAGGCACAAGATTCTCTTTGCCTGTGTTGTGATATAATTCACAGGAGTGAATATATCCTTCTGTTGGAATGAAAAAAATAATTCCTCTTCATTCCTTTCCTGAAGTGTTCAAGCTAGCATCATTTGCATCATGAAGTCCTGGCTCAGTTTGCATATTCAAGAGAAAAATGTAAAACAATCCCCCTGCCTCTGATATACAGCTCTCTTTTGAAGAAAGCATGTACTTGTTTCAGGTCCTGATACATGGGATATTGCTTAAATCTTTGCCTGGGGTTGTATATGACAGGTATGAATCACTGCAAATGGCAGCTTCCCTCGGCATTCCCTTTCTAGAACACAGACAAATTTATTGGTTAATGTTTATGTAAGCACAGTGTAAGTGTGCCTGATTTACTGTACCAATACCTGCAACTATAGAATGTCTGCTCCACTCAAAAGCATTTAAAGGACCTTTGGGGTGCACAATGTGTATGCCATTATCCCATTAATGACAAGGTGCAGCTTTGGGCAATAACAGAAAAGTTATTTATATGCACAATGATTTTTTTTCTTCCTCAACAACTTTTACAGCTTCCCCACGTTATAGAAGAGTCAATATCTGGCTTAGTGATGCTGGCAGACTAAGTAACACTCTGTACATACTCATTGCTAGGGTGAGAAAAATGTTGAGTTTATTTTTGTGACCTTTAGATTCTGAGAACTGGCTAAAATCAATTTATAGTTCCAAGAGATGGGATGATACCTACAGTAAGCAGCAAAATTCCTTCCACTTTGGTGGAGTGTGTTAAAATACAACGTCAAGATAAAAATCATTGATTTGGAAACAGAATGGGAAGTGAAGGGGGGTCAGTCAAGTGTAGGAGGTCAGGCAACAATTTGACAGGTTTCAAGCCACTTAGTCTTGAATACTTAGGAAAAAGATTTCAAGGAATCTAACCTGGCAACTATTGTAATTAAGGAATAGACACGAGCACTCCTGGCAGTAAAAAGGGGACAATCATCCAGACTGTCCCTATAGAACCACACATTGAGTTGTGGGAATATCATTGACAGAGAGAAGGATCAGAGGACAGCAGTTGCTGGGCCATTGCCACTTTGTGCCTGAGGTCAGCACCCAGCTTTTCTTTCACCACAGACCTCTTTTAAAGAGACCTTCTCTTCAGTCATCAGAGACTAATGGGAGCAGCTGATTTTCAGAGCTCCCCAAGGAAGATTATTGCTCAGGCTATGAATACTACAGAAATTCTTTATCTGTTGCCTTCAGTTGTTGGTATAGTTCTTCTTACATGACACTTTGTTTATTATCGTCTTCACAGGTCACCTTGCAGAACAGATGCCTTGCAGCAGAAGAATTAGGAAAGAAGGAGAGCTGAGTGACACTGGCATGTGTCATGTTCTGATCTCACTGAGGAGGAAACAAATCCTGCGTTCCTGTGCCAGTGCTGTGGCTGAAATACAGATGTGGTGATTCATACCATTGAACAAGCCCTGAATTCCCCCTAGCAGCAAATGAGGTGGTTAATCTACTGGATTTCAACTGATGGAGCCAGGTATTCCTGAAATAATTCCTGCCAGCTGCTCCTGAGGTGCGAGTGACACAACCCAGCCACCAGCGCTTGATCCCGGAGTACAGCGCGCTGTAACGCCACGCCAGCTCACCCTGCCTCACAGCCTTCCTGTGCAAAACCTTTTCAAAATTCTAAATAAAACCCAGAAAGTACCTGCTCTGGGGACTTTGGCACAGCTCCGACCATTTCCAAAAAAGCCAGCAGGGCAGCGGCCACAGAGGTACCCAACGTAGGGCGGCTTGCGGTCGAAGCACGGCGCTCCGGGGAAGCACGGCCGGCTGGCACAGCTGTGTGCCACAGCTCCTGCACGGCCAAAACAAGGCAGGGCAAGCATTTAGTTATCATTTATCAGATGAAATACATAGCTAAAATTTAGCCCAGCTAAAGCTTTAAAACTGCTTTTATTCTTTTAAAGTCTAATTAATGCAAAATGGTACCCAAACCTTGAGCCAAACAGGAGAATGTCCTGTAGGCACAGTGTAACAGAACAGATGTTTCTCATTAAAGCAAGATTTATTAGTCCTCTAATTACATGTTTTCAAGTTTATTACTCGGAGTTGTCTGGCATTTATCATGTAAAATATAGAAACTGTAATTTTCAGCATAAGTGAAAGATTAACTGAGTGAGAAAAGGTATTATTGACATCTTTTTGGTCTTTTATAATTGGAAGGTAATTATCAAACCTTACAGCACCTATACTGTGCTTTTGAAACTACACTGTGAAGTACATATGTTTCTGATCTGGAAATCATCCTTAATGTGTCAAATCTTGTATTACAGAAAACTGCTTTAATTATCTTAGGACTATATGCAAAATTTAACACTCTGGTAGTATATAATATTTTACTACTTATGATGTCACTGAATAGCAAGTGTATATGAACCGCCTGTGAAGTATTTAATAGTGTAAAGACAGAGAACAGATGATGAACACAATCTTAATGATGGTTGTAGATCCTTTTTAATTGCTTCCAGTGAGGTGTCCATCATGATTCTCATGTATTTTCTGCATTATTCTTGCACTTTACGTACAGTATCATGATACAGGATACCTGCAGGAGGCAGGTTCTGCTTAGGGATTGGCTGGCCTGGTACAGATATTTAAAAAAAAAAAAGGGTAAGAAAAAAAAACCCTTTTATTTTACATATAAAATATGTTATTTTTACATGTAATATATGTATATAATATATACATATGTAATATATATAATATATACATATATGTTATTTTTACATATAAAATTTGTTATTTATCTGTTGTCTCTGTACAACAGATATGACCAATCTCAATTTTTTGCCGCCTGCTTTCACTGGAAAATCAATTAAAATGCAACACTCATTAGAGCAGCACCAACACAATCATTGTGCATGAGCACACCCATGTCAGAGAGGGCTGCAGCTCTGGGAAAAGCTACTGCCACAGGCAAGTTCATCCTCGAGTTGATCTTATGATTAAAACTAGTAGCAATTCAGTGGTTGCCTATTGAATCCTGAAATAAAACACCAGCATCACTTGGTCATGGCAAGCTGGCATAAGCAGCCACTTTTATCAACTTGCTTTGCATTGATCACTACAATTTGGGGTGGTTTTGTCCTACTTCAGAAGTGGTGATGTCTAATTAAGCCTGGCCACTCTGACTGTTATTGCTGTAATGCCTCCCTTCCATGTCAAATTGTTTAGCAGCAATCCCCATTCTGATGCACTGAGTGTTTTTTTTCCTAACTCAAATTTTCTTGTGTTTTAATTAGCTAGTTTGTGTTTACTGTTAAGTTGTTAAAATTAACGATTTCTGAATCCATAATCTTTCCCAAATGAAAAAGATTTCATATCCTTATATACCTACCGTGTCTATCACTTATGTTAAAATTCTTAATTACAGGAGAATCCTTTGTCTCTGAGGATTGCAGTGGCTGCTTAACCTCAGTCCTGTTCAATTCACCTTTGCCACTGTTTAAAGCTTCTGTAACATCAGCAGCAAGCACAGCTGTGGAAAATATCACAGAGACAAAAACAAGGTGTTAGAGCTGAGATGTGATTGATGATAAAAAGCCACAACAACAGCAAATCAGGTAAGCTGACACAAGTTTACTCTGGAAGCCAACAAGCAAATAAAGGCAGATCAGGTGGGTCCAGCTGCTGGCACGCAGCAAAGCTTCAGCCAAGTATAGGAAAAGTTATTATGCCTAAATTTTCTGAATTTTGCTTGTCTGGGAGTATGATGTGCACTGTGATCTTTCTTGGGCTCAGGGCACCTGGAAAACTCAGGTCAAGCAGTGTCTGACAGCACTGCTCCTTGGATGGGGATGCTGCACCTCACCCTGGCAGCTGTGCTCTGCCTGAGTTTTGCCCCACTGAAATCTCTCCTTCTCTCTGAAACGCTGGTGAGTGTGTTGGTTCAGTCAGTTCTGTGTGGATTGACATACTTGTGAAAACTGCACGTGAATGCAATGAGGAAACTCTGAAAAATGCAATTTTCTGCGTAACTTTAAGGTAATGAACTAGGGGTAAAGTCTATGTGGATAGTGCTGTAAGTCAAACAGTTATTGTCTTGGGTCTCTTGAGTATTCTCTGCTCTTAATAGAGCCTGAAATTCTGACTCTTTATATATATATATAAAACATTACAATGAGCTGTTGCTCATTGTACAGAACAACTTCAGTCCTCCCCTTTATACTCACTTAAGCAAGGGAGGTATGAACAGGAATGTTAAGTTTCTGAATCAGAGCTAAAAATAATGATTTCTGTCCTATCCTAGGTAAGCAAATAAGCCCTCAGGTTTATTCCTTCTAATAAATGTTCATTTCAGAAACAGATTTTTTTTTTTTTTTTGTAATTAAAAAATGCAAAGTAAGAAATGTTACATTTTTCAAGAGCACATTATTTGGTACATCCTTCCTTTATGGGGAAAGTTAAAATATGCATTTATGAAACAGATGTAAAATCACTTTGAAATAACCAATGTGGCCAAAAGATACATCACAGAAAAATTTATATACAGGTGTTTGGCAATATAATTGAAGGAATGTTTGGTAAATCTGGCAGAAGTTGTGCTGCTGGAGCCAGGGTCCTGCAGCTACTACTCGGTCTGTTTACAATGGATATTTTTTTCCTTTCTGTAGTCAATATGAGGAAATGTTAATGGCTACACAGGAAATATCTGCATCTTTCACTTCTAGATTTCTTTGGAAATACCAAGAAACAAGTAAAAACTCTTCAATGTGGATTTATCTCCTTCTGGTTAAAAAAAAATAAATTGGAGAAGGCTTTTACCTATTTGACTGATACAGAGTGTGTGTGAGTCACATCAAGTGCACTGGGAAGGTCTCAGAGTACAAAGTCACTATAGGCTCCCCAATAAAGAGTCTGTTGCTCTAAAAGCAAATACTGAGCAGATTTAAAACTGTTCATGGCCCTTTCCTTCACTAGTTGGATTTGAGGAATGACTCCACAACAAGCATCCCCTGGGCTGTGTCCTTTAATGAAAACACACCTTGGAAACTGAGGTGAAAGGATGGAAATGTTTGGCACATTGACCTTTCTCTTCCTCTCCTAGTAGCTGTCACCCAAAGCAAAATCAGCCTGGAGATGCTCACCAAATATTCACTCATGGGTGTACATTTAGGAGTGAAATAGTGCAGAATATGCAGAGTGTCCTTGGCAAATTATCTGTCTGTGAAATACTTTTTTGTAGGCTGTGGTGCTCGTTCTCTACCAAAATGAAAAATAGCAGAGCAATTTGCAAATATTCACATTAATATAACATGACAGTAGTCTTTTTTTTTTTTTTTTTTACATTTAAGGGTCTGTACTTTAAATGAGTGGCAAAATACTCAATTAGGGATAATAGCAGTAGAATTGAACCCTTTCCCTCCCTCCCCCAGTCTCTTAAAATAATTCATGTAAAACACTTACATTTGCAAGTTTTACCATTTCCCTCCATCCCAGTGGGGCAAATTCCACACGCATAAGATCCAAAGGTATTCATACAAGACACTCCAGGAAAACAAAGGCTCTCTTCACATTCGTTCTTGTCCTCCTGACAAGTAAGCCCTGTGGCAAAGCAAAGGGGAAGTTAATAATCAGGAAAGGCTCCCTGTTTATAGTTCAGCTCAAATGTTGAAGCAGACAAAGGCTCACTCCTCAGCTACAAACTCATTACAGGGTATGTCACTCATGTTCCAGCCAAATTCCCCACTGTCTCACTTAAACCTGCTTTTATCACACTGTTTATTACTGTCATTATTGGCACCAGAAGTGCTGAATTTGAGACTACTGCTCATGGAAAGCTGTGCATGTTAAATAAAAATGCACATAAATGAAATTAATATTCCCCCTGCATTTCATGTCTTTGCTGCTGTTTTTGTTGTCTTATTAATGTGAGATCATTGTCATGTATTGAGGACCCCCATGAATTGGGGTTCTTCATTCTTTCATTTAAACTCCATTTTGGCTTTAGAATAAGAGGAGCCATGTACTGACATCTGTTGTACTTTCTGTTTCTATGTGAACCTCACGTAAGTGTGACCTAGCCTGATAGAGTCTGGTTGAAGATAAACACTACAAAATTATTATATTCTTAAAAACAACCCAAATTTTTCTATTTAAAATCAAAATTTGAAGTAACAGTAGCCACAACAATATCTCTTGACTATTGCTGATTTTAGAAAGAAGGTTTTAAAAATCCCTTAGAGCAACTGATTTTAAAATTCACAACTTTGAGTGATTTAATGAATCAAATTAAGGGAGAGTGACCCAAAAGATAGAATTACTATCTGAACAGCAATGAGGCAGAGGAATCAGATATAATGTTGTTTAAAACTCCTCCAGGCCTCAGGTGCTGCTGTCTCTGTGCATTTAGGCAAACTTGCTTGGCTGCTGCTGGTCACAGGATGGGCAGCCACAAACCAGCCCAGAGCACTTTGATTAAGGCATCCCCTTTGTCCCTGCAGGAATAAACAAGGAGATTGGGACAGCTTCTGGAGAACCCAGGGACATGCCTCAAGACATAGCACCAGGTACAGAAAGGTTTGGTCCATATCAGATATCCAGATTTATTGTGACAAAAGGTCTAAGGATAAAAGAATCCTTTTTTTTTTTTTTCCTTCAAAAAGAAATTTGTCACAGAGCAATGAATTGCAGGATAATAAAAACAGAGCATTATTATTCATCTCCTACAACATAATCTCTCATTGCTTCAGCATTGCAGACAGCTTCCACTTGTCCTTTCATGTTAAAATAGTATCTCAATGTAGAAAACTAAAATGAAGTCTCTTTATAGTTTGAGCCTAAAAAGTCAGTGCCATCACTTTCCCATGCCTGCTTCTTCTCAAGGAAAAAAAGAACAGCAGCATGAAAGCCACATCCCTTTTTCTGTGCCATCTTAACATAATCTGTTATGGTTTTCATGCTTCTTGCTTCATTTATTGAAATCACATCACACAGTGTTGCAGGGCCAGGCTTACCTTTTTCCTTCCCTTGTGAAATTTTGGCTGAGTATTTATATTTCATAATTCAATTATCACATTCCTGGCATCAGGCTGCTTTTCTCTGATGCTGATTTCTGGTGATGCATTGGGAAATTATTAGACATCACATGGAAAATATTGAATGAGGAGCATTCTGATTAGATTACTAATTACTTTCTTTCTCTGAGTATCATACAAAGACTAAAAAACAACGAGAGGAGGATCAAAGTTCCCAGTTTCAGTAACAACAGTCACTTCTCCCTTGGTCCCTCTCATACTTTCCTTCTCACCTTTCAATACTCTATTTTCATAAAGGGCTGTCTTTCATATCTCAAAGACAAGGGAATTACAGAAATCAAGGAACACCATAAGTAACAAGCTAAAATTCAGCTCCTTGGCTGATTTTTGTGATGTAAAGGTGAAACTATGTAAGCACTGCTTTTCACACAGAGATATTTGATTTTAAACAGTATCTGACCAACTTGGGCATAATGACAAACCTGATGAATCCAAGGAGAAATGTTTACAAAGACTGAAACTTGGCTGCATGATGCTGAAGAAGCAGCAGAAATGCATACGAAATTGCACCAAGAAGTGTCAATTATTCTGTTTACATGACCTCCTGTGCACTGTAGCACAGGGGAGTCTCAACTGTCTTGGCACTGCTACAGTACAAATAAAAATAATAGGAATAGAAGTTCATCAAGTTCCAAGGCTGAACCATCTGTTTGTGTGCCAGCTGTATTTCTCCATCCCTGCATGGGAAGTTGTTTGAGGAAATAAAGTCCTTTCTTGCCTTGACAGGAGCTGACCACCTACAGATGCAAAGAAAGTTTTTTTGATTGTGCTCACATTTAGTCTAAAGGAACAGAAAAATCCTATTTAGATTCTCTATGGTTATTAGAAACCAGTAACAAATCCTGGGAGTTTCTTCAGTTTCCTGAAATATAAAATGAAATTATGGCTCCATCTTGCTCGCTATCCCATACCCAACTTTGTACTAATCCCTGGTATATGGGGAAAGAAATAATGATTTTGTGGTTGGGATAGTTATCAAGGAGGAGTTCTCAGGTGGGTGATGCTCTTGCTTTCTGTGGCTAAAAGAATAAACAGCAGGAAGCTTTGTTATCTTGTTGACAATGCAGATGAAAAATCAATGAGCTTTGAACACCCAGAGACCCAGTAATAATTCTGGAGTCGGCCTTCTCTCAGATTTCCTACTGGCTTTTCTCCCTGCCATTCTCACATTTTACCCTCACAATGATGCACCTGAGCTGCTGCTTCCCTTGCAGGGGAAGCTCTCACAAGTTCACTTCTTGTTTCTGCTGCCTGCTTGCTGTCATTTGTAAAGATTTGATGGTGAAGTGGTGCTGTCACTTCAGCTGCACAGCATTGCCTTCTCATTAGATTATTGATGGTTTTCTGGGGAATTGAGGCATAAACACAGCATCAAGAATGAGCTTTTATTGTTGTCACGAACCTGCCCTGCAGTAAAATCACCTGCTTCCCAGCTGGCTCGCAGCTCCATTTGTTTATAATTTTTCACCTGCTATTAAAACTTTGCAATGTATTCCTTTTTCACTCAATCATATTTTATTTTCTTTTGTTGCTTGTGTTTTGGCATTTTGGGAAGAAGCAGGAAAAACAGCAAAACCCTTGCACTGTTATTTAACTTGCAAGATCTAAAGGTGAAGGCAAACCTGGTTTTTCTCTGGCCATCAAGGTTCTGTGTGCCCTTGTCTCTCCAGTCAGCAGGTCCACTGAAGTTATTAACTCATGGAATTATATTGATTTTTAATCATTTAATCAAACTCCTTAGGGGCAATCAAAGCCTTTTCTCATTGTATAGCCCCATAAATTACACCATAAAAAATTCCCAAATTTTCCTGTGCTCATAGGAATGTTTTATCCAGGGGATTATAAACATTCTGCATATGTTTGGTTGGCTTAGGGATTTTTATATTTTGATCAAGCTTCTATGTTAGAACTTTATTCTCCCTGCTTAGGTTTGTGTGTTCTTGCCTCAGTCGAGTCTCTGTTGTAAAGATTTTGGACAGCAGCAGGCTTTGGCCATTAGGGAGCATTACCTGGAGTCAACACAGATTAGGTGTCACAGATATTTTAGGTCATTTTTATGGACTTCTGAGAGATTTTTCTTTTATGTTTCTGCTGGAATTTTATAGAAATGAAATCTGGGCTTGCAGTCCCACATGACCAAAGCAATAAAGCTGCTGACAGGCAGGAAAGGTACCTTGCCCACGGAGTAAAATCTGTTCGCTGCTTTTGTTTAAAAATGAGTTGTTTTCTGTATATATGCACAATATAGCAGTAATAATTATGTGCATTTGATGTTACTTCTACTTTATTTTTCAAACCTATAACACTGGCAGCAGCCAACCTCATGGGGCTCAAGAATGTGAACAGAACAGAACAAAGTGATCATCTTTCTTCCCTTACTTTCTTAAAATCACATTTTGGCCAGCTCTTCTGATTTTGGCTTGGATAGAATTTTGAAACCAAGACACGAGCCTTGAAGCATTTCAGGGGTTAGATTTTGTTTCATCATCATGTCTGACAACTCACTGGGACTGGGATTTTCTAATGCTTAAATTTATTGAAGTTTCAAGAGGGACTAGAGGACAATTTATTTTTCAGTGTTTTCCATATTTTCTTCTTCCTAGACTTAAGAAACCTCATTTAATCCTAATTCTTTCCTTAATTTAGTTAAATGAAATTAAGTGCAAAGAGGCCATGGATTTTTGCCTTTCTCTCTTTCACTCAGTGCTCTCCTAGCTCCTCTCATGGAGGGACAAATCCATGGGAAATGAGCAGGAAGCAACAGAGATCTGGGAGGTTCATGTCTTCGTCGAGTGTTCATTTCAGGATAACAGGGCTTTAGGTCATTTTTCCTCATTATTAGATAGAGAAATATCATCTCTCTATGTCTAAGGCTAAGCCAGGGAAGTAGAAGAGCAGGATTTTGTTTGCAGTCCATTTGGAGATGCTGTGGTCTGTGGGAATCCAGGGCTTCCCTCTGACTGCCCTGGCAGGTCTGGGACCCTGGCAGGGGTCAGGAACCCCCCTGGACAGAGCCACCAGAGACACTGGCTGTGATCTCTGTCCATGGAAAAGAGTTTTCAATCTTACAGGATGAATTACCAGCTCTGAGTGTTTGATATAAGTAATAATTAAGTGTGGCACCGGTGCAAAAGTAAAATTTTAGGATTCTAGATTAGGGGTTTAAAGGGGACAAGATGGAGGAAATTGGGTGTGCCTTGTCCTTTTTCTCCTTCTTCATGCCCTCCATGTTTCACTGTGGTGTTGGCATTTTTCTGTTGGTTTAGGCTGGGGACACACTGTTCAACGTAGGTGACAGATATTGGCACGTTATTGTAAATCCAGCACAGGTAGTTTGTGGTATTTAATGTTTGTAACATCCCACTGAGGGCAGAGCCCCACACACTGCCCTGCAGGACAGAGCTGCGGCAGGGCAGCAGAACATGTTAGAGATAAACAGAATAAACAACCTTGAAACAGCACAGACGAATTATGGCTTCTGCTTTGGCAGCGGGGCAGAAAGACAGAGACTTTGTGCAATCTCAGAATCATCAATACCTCAGATTCAGACAGTGGTCATGCTACACTCAAAGAATTCTCTAGCTCAGTACGTGTGTGGTTAAAGCAGAGATGCAAACAGAGAGGTGTTACCTCCCAAACCAGGGGGGCATTTACAAAAGTAGCTCCCCACGCTGTCCACGCAGGTTCCACTGCCACAGGGGTTTGATTTGCAGTCCCTGATGTCTTCCTGGCAGAATTCTCCATCAAATCCATTTGGACACAAGCACAGGTATTCACCAAGGCCTGGAGGGTATTTAATGTTGGTGACACATGTGCCACCATTGAGGCAGCTGCAGGGCTTCACTCCAACCTGGAAAAGGCAAAAGGGGATTCTGGTAAGGTTCCTCTGAATAACCACAGCTGGGATGTGTATTGTTCCCCTTTAGGAAGGGAGAGATTTCACTACAGACTTGTTATCTAGTATTATGGAAACTTATTTCTAACCAATTTCCTTTGTCTAGATAGATGGTCTTATACTCACTGCACTTATTTATTTGACTGAGAGCTCCACTTCAAAGGGATTTCTTTTTTCATCATTTAGGGGCACATTCTGACTCCTTATAAGGAAAAAAAAACCCAATCTTATTCGCTGTAACAGCAGATTTCACATTGTATCTGAGGGCAGAATTTGTTCCTTATTCTTCAAAGAAGAAAGGAAAAATCTTTTCTCTTTGCCTGCCTGCCCACCTTCCTCTTTCACCTTGCAAATGTCTCCCAGGCAGGAACACGACTGTGGCATTCCTTATCTGGTGTCTCTCTTCAGGGAAGGGAGATCCATGGCTCTATTTTACATGTGTACAAGTAATGCATTTCTACAGATTCAAAGCTCTGCATTATCTCCCCCAGATAACACAGGTCTAGCTTGAAATATTTCCATTAAAGCCATATCTAGGCTCCAGTTTCCCCTTTGCTGTGTTGGTTCAGCAGATTGGTATTCTGTGGTTTGAATGAGCAAAAATAGAAATCTCTGGGAATAAAAATCTTTTCTTCACAAAACTGTTCTTATGTCAAGAGTCTGCATCCTGCTTTATTAGCTCATCTGATCAGAGGATTAATGTTAGCCCATACAATAAAGACAAAGCCATGCACAAGCTCTGCCAAGAAACTTAGAGTGTGGAGTAAAGACATAAGAGCAAGACTTCCTCTAAAAATATCATTGAGAATGAGTTATAATCTCCCTTTTATAGCTAAAGCCTGGTCTTTTATGTTATATGCTTTTTTTGTGCAATCCAGATGCAAAATGTGAATTTTAAAGCAGATTAATGAACCATTAAAAGGCTCTGCGAGAATGTTCTTTCAAACAGCAATCAATAGCACTCTCTCTTGTTCCCTGTATATATAGTTTCTATGTTCTCAGAGATATTTATTCCATTAATTGATCATTATTGCTGTGCTGGATATTATGCACTTATGAGGAGAAAATAGCTGAAGCCTTGTTTTTCAAGACAGTAACAAATTATTAGCTATGATGACAATTGCACAATTGCATTGACATGACAAACGGGTTTGTTTTGTTTTTCCTTTAAAGTGTTCTTTCCCTTACCTCAACAGAGTATCTGCTCTGTGCATTGCACTCATCTGACACAGTGAATTCAAAGGTTTGCATTTCTTCTGACTCAACCTTCCAGAGCAGCAGGCCAGCAGGAGAGAGCCGGGCACCCCGTGGCCCAGCCTCCAAGATGAATAGCACAGCTGACCCTTCTGGATCCACTGCTATTAGCTGGTAAACAAAATTCTCACCAATAAATGTCAGCAGCTGGCTGGAGGGGGCCTGGAACACAGGAGGCAGGTTGTCTAAACAGCAAAAATGAAACCATGATTACATAAACTCCTCTTTCTCCCACGTAAAGGTTCTCAGAGTGGGTCTTTGAAGGAATGCTCTCAAAGAAAACATGCAGAGCATGCCCAGAGGCTGATGGAGGAAGAGATTTGTGTGTTAGAAGCAGCAAATAGCTTTACCAAAATAACACCTTTTTCCTCCCCCTCTTTTTTTTGTGCCCTATTTTTGTCCCATCCTGCACTTTGATTAATTTTGATGTGCTATCTGATATATGGGAGTAAATAATGCATGATTTCTATAACCTCCCCCTAGTCCCAATTCTTCCTAAATCTGTAATCAGTTATATTTCTTATACTTACATACATATTTAATCTACCTATCATCCATCCATTTAAACATAAATAAAATAAATCTCAAAATGCTGAATGACAAATGAACTGGGTGGGCAGCTCAGAAGGAAAAATAAATTGTAACTCTTCCATTGAGTAGGCACTCCTGCCTTTACCCATGAGGAGTAATTAAAGGAGCAGTTTGAGGGAATTCAGTTGGACATTCATCAGGAACAAAGGTTTTTCCAGTGCCAGCAGAGATCCATCAGTGATGCTGAGACTGCCCATCCCCAGTAACAGTGGTGTGTACATTGTCACCATTGGCACTATTATTTCTAGGGTTGCTGTTTACATTCAGCATTTCCTTAATGAAGACAACCCCTCTAATTTTACAAAGCTATTTAACAGCAGAAGATAAATGCTACCCGAAGACACTTTCAATGCACATAGGTAAGGAGGGCAAGGTAGAGAAAATGATTACATTTTATAATTAGAAACCAAGGAAAAGTAAGATCAGATGAGTACCCTGAGGTGACAGCAGCTCTTTTCAGGGCCAGGAATTTCATCTCCATGTCCTAAGCTTCCTCAGTCTCAAGAGATCTCTCCTCTTTAGCCACTAGTATAAATTGACAGGTATTGATATTTAAAGGAATCTTCTCACAGTGTAATTTGACAGTAGTTTTGTTTAACTTAAAGCACATTTCTAATACCCAGGATTAATTTCAAGCCATGCTCTAACATTATGAACTATATATGTGTTCTCATAAAGACTCCTTGCACTATGCTCATGGGAAATTATCATTAGGGTTTTTTTTGTGGGGCATATAATTTTTATCCAACTTTGCTTTCCATAGCACAGCTTAGATGATGCAATTATTTAAATATGTGTCTCCTTTATTGCTGCTGTGCTATGAGAGCTTTCTAAAATGCTTGTCCAGCAGATTGTCCTGGCATAACTGTTGAAAGCTTCCATCTATTCATTTACCTTTTATTTCCCAAACACTAAAGCCATGGAGCCCATAAAAGTTGTGCCCAAAGTAATCAATGAAATATTGATGCAGGGTATGCATTTAGGGATAAACACAAAGGTGTTAACTGAATGGATGGTAAGTGGAAGTGGTAGGCACAAAATAACATAAAATCAGATGTTCTGAAAGGAGTCTGTGGAATGTTTCTAATGCTACAGAGATCTGCTTGCCATCCAGTAAATATAAATACACTCTCCCTATTATTGCAGAACTTTTAGAGAAGTTTTCAAACTTTGGGAAAAGGTCTGACAAACCTTTTCTTCTAAATATTTTTAGATTTTGACATTTAAAGGTGAACCATGAGTTCACTTTCAGAGTTCCCAAATCACTTCTAGTTTTATAAAGTTCAAAACAAATACAGTTTTTACTTTTAAAACCATTTCCCAAATTTGAAAATAGAGCTGTTTTGGTATTAGTAATGAGTCTGTTTGTGTAACACCCAGCACCAGCTCATGCCTAGGGATGCTGCTGCTCTGACCAGCAGAATATAAGGTCAGGTTGGATGTGGCTCTGAGCAACCTGATCTAGTGGAAACCCTCCAAAACTTTCTATCATTCTGTGACAGAAAGGAGGCAAGGTTTGTGAGTCACAGATAATATCCCTCATTGGATTAAGTATTTTTCTGGGGAAAAAAACAGCCTTCAAGTGTACAGACTCTCTTTCACATCTGACTCACCCTTAGGCATTTTAACTACTCATCCAAGTGATATCCAAATGGATTTTTAGTGGGCCAACTTTTGGAATGTAATAAAACCCCAAACAACTGAAGCAGACTGGATCTGTGACTCACACACCTTTCTGTAATGTGTTTGGGTTTACAAAGCCTAAAATGCAGAGAAACTCCTTGTGGAATCACCACAGGGACTTACATAAAAGCAGTAGTATAATCTTTATATTGACCAGATGCAAACATGCTCACGTAAGGGAGGAGATGGGCTGTGAGGATAAAGCTGCTGGGAGCACGGATTGTCTGTAAAAGAGTGGGGTGAGCAATGGTTGTTGTTTACACTGGGCAGGTAGCCATGAAAAAACTGTGATTTAGTCTTCATCCTTCAGGAGATGCTTCAAAAGTCAGCCTTCTCTGTGACCCCTGCCTCGAGGGGCTGCAGAATGAGCCCCTGGGTTCTGTGGCAGTGCAGGTAATGAGTGCCTGAGCACTGGGACTCCCTGCCAGGCCAAGCTCTGCTATGAGAAATTCCATAGGATTTGCCTCAGTGAAAGGAAGCAATTCTTCCAGACACCAAAAATACATGCTGGTGTTTTAAAAACAGTATTTTCCCCAAATTGCCTCCTTAAAGATTGGTACCTGCGAGATGCTGACAGAGATATTTGGGGTTCATCGCCTTGAGCTGAGAGACTTGGGCACTGCATGAGGCACTGATATATCAAATTCTAATTTTCAGGCATTTTTTCATTTATTAATCTGAAATTTATCAGGTTTCAGACAGAACAAGGTACATTGTGCAAGCAGTGGAGTCTGCATTTCTGATGTACCCAGTTATTCCCACTGCAAACAGTCCATGTGCAGTGGACAGGATAGATTCAGGTTAGCTAAATGGAGGAATATATTTAATAAAATGAGTCATAAATTCCCAGATAAGCACTTCTATGTTCTAGAAAAGAAACCCCTGTCTTACTTTCATTAACAGACCAGGTGAACTTAGAAATGACAGGTTCACAGAGAAGACAAGGGCTTGTAGGGCTTGACTCTCCTTCACCATAGCAAAGTCCATCTATATTGCATGTATTTTCCTGCCAAAACAAAAAAGGGAAATAAAAAATGGGTTGGAGGTGAAGGTCAATGAAAAAAAAGGAAAAAATTAGCAATTATTAATTTCTGGATGTAAGCAGAAATTCACTTGTCTCTTGAAACAAGGAAACAGCAGCAATTTAAATGTTAGTGCTTTCTGCTTACAGCAAGTAAACTATGGAAGTTTTCCAGTTCCAGCTTGGGATCCTTGTAGCTTTGAATGTTTGGCAATGGGGTGGTGCTTTGTCATAAATGGATGATGGATGCAACAGAATGTGACTCTTTTCCCATTTTTTACCACACCCATGTGATGTGTGTGGTCATTATTCCCAGCTGTTAATATGGTGAGTGTCAGGTATCCATGAAAGGTCAGCTCCATGGGACTCCCAAAGCCTGAGACCAGACAAGAGCTCCATTTGAAATATTGCATTCCTGCTCTTTATAAACATTTGCAGAAGCAATGCTATAAAAGCAGAATAAAGAAGTGCATTAGAATTTAGGCTCCTAGAGGGATTTGTAGAGAACAGCTGAGCACATCCATGGTGCCATGGTGGGGCAGAACATCCCAAAAGACACCTGTGAGGGGATGCTTTGTGGGCACAGCAGCCTTTGGGCTGAGCTGCTCCTCTCCCAGCAGGACCAGGGGGGCCCTGTGGGTCCCACATGGGTTGAAGGCACTTGGTAATCTAAGAAGGGAACACAGGGACATGATTAACAGATGGAGTTAAAGATCTGTCCCATGGGAAGATCCTGTGGAGGAGTTAGCCTGTGTTGACCAGGTGGGACTTTATCTGACCATGCAGATTCCCAGAAAAACCTGGAATACTTCTGGGAACAAGGGGGATGTCTTTGCCACAGTGGGACAGCAGGATGGACAAGCTACCAAACACATTTTCCCCTTTCCTTCCTTTGTTTTTCTGAGACTGATATGTGTCCTGTTACTGTTCCTGTGTTTTCTGTCTACTGCTTTACTGGTGCCCCAAACTTTTGCAAACTGCATTAGTCAATAATGCCACTTTAGGGTAATGGGTAAGGTAGAGAAACAAAAAGCATTCTCATAATGGCCACAACATGATAGAACATGACAGATCTTCAGCATTAAAACCGGGATGTTAATTAGATTTTATTACATTGTTGTTTTCAAGGGCTTGATGGTCTGATTAAAAAAAAGTGTTTTTTTTTTTTTTTTCTGATGTGATACAGTGTGGTACAGAATGTGAAATGGGCTGATATAAAATGTCCCCTAATTGAAACACCTTTTCTGAAAGCAATTTAGGTGTTCCAGAGTAATGCAGAAGGGGTATAATTAGACTGTGGTCTGATGCAATTGGAAGCCTAGATCAAATATTCCCTTGAAACATTTTAGAATAGAAATTACTATAATCCCTAGAGAACACCATATTGAGAGACCATATACATTTCTGAGTTTCAAAAACTTAAGAATAAGGAAAGCCTTTGACAAAAATCCTCACTTTAGATTTAAGTGAAATGATTCTAACACAATTATTTTTAATCTAAAACTAAGGTGGTTTTGTCCTCAGTTGGGCTGTGCTGGGTTTCCCTGCCCTTATCTCTCTGAGGGCAGTGACAGAGGGACTTTGAGACATCCAGTCAGGGTCAGACTACCACACAGGCCTATAAAGTAACTTCTATTCACTCACTTACTTGGGAAAAAAGTGAACTTTTAAAAAATTTTGGTGACTGGTATGTACTTGCAATCAGTGCAGGTTTTAAAACTGTGTTTTCTCATTAGCATTAATGGGAATAGTGAGGCAAATGAGTTAAGATGTACCTGATTAATCTTCATTTTATAAAAAAGCAGACTGGTGGCCTCCTATTAATTCATACTTGCCTCAGGGCAGGAAAGCAAGATCAGCACATTCAAATATCCCACCTAATACCCTCCAAAATTTTTTTGAAGCCCCATTGCAAACCAGCTAATTTGCTTAATGCAGGCCTCTGGAAAAAAAGAGAAGGGAAGATCTTTTTAAGGGATGCTACAGCAATAATTCCACAGGAAAACAGAGGATTATAGTGCTCTGCAGGCAGTTTCTAACGTGTTGGCAGTTTAAAATGTAGCTCTAGACTTTTGGTTATGGTTTTGAAACTGTCAGAATGCTCTATGTTTGTACTTAGCAGTGTTTAATGCAGGCAGGAATGGTTTATGTTGTCTCAAGGGTGCTCTCACATGACAAAAAACTGTGTAACATGCATCTTTGTGTGCCTCTTGCTAAGGCAGAGAATGGGAATAGAAATGATATACCCTCACCAAAGAGGGTGGGAGAGGGAAAATGGTAGAGACACTTCAGAAGTGGAGTTAAGCCTCTCAGGGCAGGCTCCTCACTCTTATTTACTCCCACCAACAGCTGCAAGGGATAAATATTGGCAGCCAGGAGCTTTCCTGAGGTGTTTGTGTGAGGAAGGTCCACCGTAAAGCACGCTCTATCAGGTGTTCATTCCCCACGTAAATATGAAAAAGAAATAAAATATCGCAGACACGAGGCTGTGAAAGAGAAAAGCAAAGTGTCGGGCTGTGCAGCTGATCTGTGAAATAGGTTTTCCCCTTCCAGAGCAGTTACACACAGCACATCAGAGGGAGGGAGAGGGCTAAGGAAGAGATGAACGATCCGTATTAAACCTTTATGATCTTTAAATTACCTTTAATTTACAAAGTCCGGCGGGGTGGAATTGGCAGACCTGGCAGACCGCGTCGTACAGGGTCAGCACTCGGGAATTGCTGTACTGCAAGCCATCGTTAGTGATCTAAATGATACAAAAATCATCTTTAGAAGTAATAATGTTCCATATGGAGACTGTCTGCTCGTTGTGGAGCACATAGCACTGGCCCCTTGAGCTGGATGCGTGCCAGCAAGATAAATTAAACCGCTTGTGAGTGGCTCTGCGAGCTAACAAATTGCTTAATGCTCCAAACTGGAAATTCTTCATTAATAACCAAAAGATCTTTTGGCTCAGCTGGCATTCAGCTTTCTGATTGCTATTAGGTTTTATCCTGAAGGTGGTTTTTTTTGGTTTTTTTCTGATACCCTTATGGAAGATGTACTCAAGTAATAAGAGGGCGATTTCAAGGAGTTGTGAAACACAATTAACATTTTTGGCTGGGACTCAGAACCACATTTTTACTAATAGCAAATAACTAAGTAAAATCCTTGGCCTGAAAAAAAAAAGAATATGTATTATATAGGTTTATTTGAAATTAACTTTATAAAAGATGCAAGGGAGGACAATATGAGAGAGAAACAGTTTCATTTCTGTAGGAAGGTTCATTAGAGCAGTCACCTATCCCAGCTCATAATGGATAATTCAGAAAGCTTTAAACATGGCGTTTTTTATATAAGAATGCTACACAATACCAAAGAGTTGAGTGAATTTATATTTTAATTTTTCCACAGTAAAAGTGAAAAGATGCCAGAGAAGAGTGGATAAGTGGATTGCTTTTGAGAGTGCTTTGTGAGATGTCTTGAGTGGTGTGAGCCTTAAAGAGCACCCCAAAACCCTGGGGAAGGCCATGCTTTAGACACTGGTGAGAACCAGAAAGAAAGCAAAGCCCTTTTTTCAGATATTTTTAAGGTTTTGTCCTCTCACAGTCAAAATAAAGCTGCTGTTTAGCAAATCTAACAGGGTTTGCTTTGGATTCATCAGGTACCCCTGTGTTTTCTTGCTATTAAAAACCAATCCCCAGGTCTCCTCCACCTCTCCCGAGACCACAAAGCTGAAACATCCTCAGTCCCTTTGCAGGGGATTTTTACAAGGCTGAGGCCATAAAGTTTTTGATCAATCAATAAACTCTTCCAGTTCCCAGACAGAATGTTAAGTTAAATTGAATGAAGATAAACAGAAGTACAGAGAGCAAAAAATACTTGGTAAGTTTCATAAAAAGCAGGTATATCACAAATTGGTTGAGAGTTCATGGAAGATAATAGAGCAGATTCTCCTACAATGACTTTTGGGATGGTTCTGCACTCTGAGCTGAGTGTTTGTGTCTGCAGACACCACCACAAGGGCAGGAACAGGCAGCATTCATGGATATTCACAATTTCAACTTGTGGAACTGAAATAACTTCTTTGGACGAATATAAATTGGTCCAAAAATTCAGTAAAATTCTTTGATCTAGTAAAATTCGTCGGTTTAAGGAAAATATTGGGCTATTGACATATTAGACTCTAGTGTGTTGTACTACAGTTAAAGGTGCTTTTAAAAGAAATAAAGGATTTCTCCTGCAGTTTGACAAAAAATTCAGACAACCCCGCTGTAGACCTGCTCTTCACTGGAAGACTCTGGCAGCAAGATTTCCATTAAGAATTTATTATTCCTGATGCAATTTAAACTTAATTTGAATTAATTATTTTACCTGAGTGTCCAATATTGTCTCAATACAGGTGCACTAATAATGGGTGAAAAAATGGCTAGACAGGGAAAAATATAAAAAGCTGTAAAATTGCACTAATTGTTCTGTCTGAAGTGAGCATTGTGAGTGAGATGTAACTCCTATAATTCGATTATTTTTTAATCTGTATCTTTTTTCTACATTCTATTATAAACATCTATTTTGGTCTCTTTTTAGAATTGGGCTGGTTTATAGCTCTTTTAATTGCTTTTTCATTAATCATCTTAGTGATGTGGAACAAACACTTTGATGAGAACTGAGCTGAGCAAATCTTTAATATGTTTAGACCTTAAGAGGCAAAAACCCACTTAGAGTTAGGCCTTGTTTGCTTGGTATCATCTGGAAAGAAAGAGCTGCTTCTGCATAAATGCAAAGGATGATCAAGAACTCTGTTGCTTCTGCCTCAGGTTTTTCACCCATTATGAAATTATCTTGGATATTGGCATCACTCTACATAGACTTTGTAAGAAAGTTTAAAAAAAAAAAATTGAAAGGTGTAAAACTGTTCTGAGTTCAAATTTAGTTTTTGTTTCACTGAATTTTTTGTGATTTTTTTTTTCTCATTCTAAACAAATACAGCAACAACTTAATGAAAAGGATGAGAGCTGCTTTCCAAATTAGATAAATGCCTGCCAAGCTCTTTCACCTCTTCACCCAGGCATCTGCCTGGACAGCTCAAGTCATCTGCTGCCCAAGCATGGGTTTGTATTTTGATATCTCAATTAATTATGCCAAATACTCTGGTGTAGCCACATGTACTTTCTTATCTGCGTTCAGCAGCATGTTTTGGGAACAATGGGCAAAATCTGAAACATGACTACAACAGGAGATTAAATGAAAGAGCGCTGAGAAGAGCTCCTGCTCCCCCAGTGCTGGTAGTGAGAAAAGCTGTAGTGAATTTTTTCTGATTCCTTTGAGATTTGATTTGGGAAAGGGGAGAGATTCTGAAAATATTGAACAGTGACATTTCCAGAAATAATTGTGTTGACTTTTGGTTCTGAAAAATCCTTTAGCTATGTTTTAAAAAGTAGATACATGGATACCCAAATCATCAATAAGTCTTATGAGCTGCAATAAGTCTTAAGAGGAATTTCCTGAATTTTTGAACACCTGTGGAATTAGTTGAAAGTAATTTTTTATCTTGAAAAGCTCCACGATTTTGTTCTCTGTGCTGCCATGTAAGGCCAGCTGCCTTTGAAACTGAGCGCTAGGCTCTGCCTTCCCAATTTGTTCATCTAAAGATCCACAGGAGTTCCAGGCTCACGTGCAGACGGAGATGATTTAATTGAGCATTCGCTGCGTAGCCGTCAGTCTGGTTCCTCTGCAGGGTTTGAAGGAAAGGGCAGAAAGCTTCCAGGTGCAGAGGTTTTCTGGAGCTTTAGTGCATGGAAAGAGTTTTTGTAGCTGTTTTTGAGGGAAAAGAATGAGAAAAATTGTACAGACCTCCTCAGGGCTGAAAGGAAGCGCTTGAACACAATCAGAGTTGTAAGAGACCTGTGCTGGGAGGACAACGTCCTGGAGCACTGGAGAAACCTTCCTGTGTCCATAGCATGATTTTAGCTGGCCTCTTGGCCAGGAACACCCAGGGGCTTTCCCTCTCAGGTCTTTCCACCATGAGGCAGCATTTTATCTCCCAGCTGGCAGAGTTCAATACCTTTTTGGAGAAGTTTTGGAGCCCTGAGCAGAGCACCTCCCCTCCTGGTTCAATCCTGGTCTGTGACACAAAGAAGGTCCAAGCTCCACCCCAGCAGCAAACTGCCTCTGTACCCACAGGGTTTTACCCTAATGTCCTAAACTCCCAAATCCTTATCTTTTCAAAATAAATGACTGATAGAAGATGTGCCCTGCCAAACATCCTTCTGTTCCCCCAGGCCACGTGGCAGCACGTGTCCTCAGCTGGGTGCAGGACAGGCAGTGGTGAGGGGAGTGTTTTACATGTTTTATTTTGCATGCTGCAATTTTCAGAGCACATCTGCAGTCTCCCTACAATGGCAATATATTCTCCTCAGCTTCAGAGCCTTTAAAAGATCTCAGTCTTGTAAAAAACAACTGATGTGCAGAAAATAACCATCTAGGCCTAGAGCGAGTCCAAGGGCAGCAGGCGTGCAGGGTTGGAAGGCACTGGTTTCCTGGGGATATTTAGAAAAATAGGTACCATTTAGTGAAAAAAAAATGGGGCTAAAACTGCAGCAGAGAACCCAGAAGAAGCAGATACTGCACAGGTTTCTTCCTGCAGCCATTCAGACCACGACTGTGACGGTGACATCCCAGCTCAAGCCTGCCCAGGAGCCAGCCCGCTCATGCACCCAGGGAGTCAAAGCTCTCGAGTCTTGCTGTCTAATCAGGAGTTTGAGCTGGGGTTTTCAGAAATGGAATACTAATGATTAACAATTGATTAGCACAACTGCATCAAAATCAAGTATTACCTCTAGAAGTGGTTGTAATTTGCCCTTTTGGATTGGCTAGAGAGACACCTAGGTTTAGCTCATTGTTTTGGTTGGTGGGGTATTTTTTTCTCTATGTGACATTAGTGTGAGAATTTCTACAGGCATTTCATTTCTGAAAGGAAGCAAATTGTGCTTTGCATTTTAATTTACCATGACAACTGATTTTTCTCTTTCTAAAACGCTTCTTAGAAACTTGATAAAATTCCTACTTTCACTTGCCATCTTGCCAATGGCTCGTCACCAGCCACGAAGTGCACAGCCTCTGTGATGTTCAGGAGGGGGATCTGGCAGTCAACAGCCTCAGAGCTCAGAAAATCTGCTTTTGTGCTTTCTTCTTCTCTTGACATCCATTTTCCATTGAGATGCTACAGTAAAGCAGAGGGAGAGTGAAGAAAATGAAGTCTCATAAAGAGATTCCAGTTATCAGTGTATGTTTATATTTCTAATCAATAATATAAAGCATTCCTAGGTGGTTTATTTAAAAGGAAACATGTTGTTACTATAGCTACAGCAAAAGGGAAGCCATGCTTAGCTAGGCATGCAGTTGGTCTATTGATTTAGGAAGTGCTGTGGTCTGCACTTGGGATGAGCAGCTGGGATGAGATGGGGTGATGTAATGGAGTGACTTTGTGTTTCCTCCTGGAGCTCAGCAGCTGGCTCCTGGCTTCTTGAAGGTGATGTCAGCTACTCCTCCAGATCAGCTGCACAAAACATTCCAAATGGTGAGAGCCTATGGAGCCCTAAGGGGGCTCAGCAAATCTCAGCTGTGCCTCGTGAGCATGCCAGCACCGACTGGGAGTCAGGCTGAGTGTCTGTTCTGAGGTGGATTTATGAGTTTAATCAAACATTTCATATCTGAGGATGCTGATCCGCCAAATAACTCAGTTGCAGCATTGCCTGTGTATAGTTGTTTATGATAAAATTACAGTGCTTGCATAAGAGATGGGTTTGATGCTCATCAAAACCTCTGATTTGGTGTTGAAGTATGACTAAGAAAATTCAAATAACAGCCCCTGTAACTGTGGTGAGGAAACCCTATATTCAACCACAAAACTTAACATTTAAATGTGTTTAGGAAAACAACTAAGTATAGTGATTCCAGATGTACAAAATGAGAAATAATATTGTGATTTCAGGCTTCAATGGACTACAGAGCAGCTGAACCAAACAGGAATCAAACAAAACTCCACAGAGATAATGAGCAAGAACTCATAGCTGTGCATTTCCAGGGAACAAGTCCTGGAAAGATCTGAGCCTCTTCAGCTCCCCTCGCTTGTAGCAAACACTTTGCAGTGGGCTTGGTGGGTACTCGTAACCTGCTGAAGCATTGAGGGAAGATAGCACAGACCAGAGTAAAGGATTTCTGTATAAACACATCAACATTTGACTGTATCACCCATATTTTAGGAGGCTGCTTACGATTAGCCTGGTGACCTGGCAGTGCAGGCTGGGAGACTCCTTGAAGCCGAGGCCAAACGCCCGGATCCTGCTGCAGTCTGAGGCTCGGACGTCGCAGAGGCCCCCGTTCTCCAAGGCTGTGATTTCCAAAGCTTGCTCTGCAGGGTGAGATGGATACAAAGCTTTAGAGAGCAGCACTTACACGCTGTTCTCTTCTGCTTCATCAGAGATTTTGGTGTAGTTGTTCCTGGTTGTTGCAGTTTAATACTTTTCCTTAGGGTCTTCCTTGCCTCCCTGGGGATTTCTCTTGAACAGAGAAACAGCAGTTGTCAAAAGGGAAAGCAGCAAACCTCCATTAAATATTGTCCTGTGCACCCAGTGCTGCAAGATGTATTAGTGAGTGCCATGGCTCCTGAATCAATTTTCTGAAGCTGAGGCTTTGTCTTAAAAGGTCTCTAGGGCTAAAACTTCTGTTGACCTGAGTATCCAGTGGCAATACATTTGCTGACCCAGTAATACATCCCTGACCCAGTCACCAGAATGGGAGCACAACTGAGAGGACAAAGCCTCATCCCATAGCAGAGAGACACGTGGGAACAAGAGATGACCATGTCACCAGGATCCCTGGAGTGTTAAAAACCAGGGGAAAAGCCAGCCTGATGTTTTTGTTTTGTTGTTTGTTTTTTTCCCTAAAGTTTTGGCAGCATAAAAAGGGTCCTTAAAGTAAAGCTTTCTTATGAGGGTTAAATCATTAATGGTAGCACTCAGCTGTGCACTGTGTCAGCACAAAGGTCATACACTAGCTAAGTTTCAGTTAAATCCAGCATTAAGGCCTTAAGTAGAGCTTAAGTTATGTACAGCCTGTGCTGGCCCCCTAACAAGGCTGACTTCCACCCATTACTGTGTAAAAAATGTTTTATGGTTCTCAGGTAAAGTTTCATTTGGGTTCTGTTGTACTTTGGGTATTCACCTTTTAAAATTGCTCATTGCTTTCACATTGGGGTTATTTCAACAGAGGAAAAATGCAAGTCCATTGGATATCAGAATTCACATCTTTAATTAAGAAAAATTATAATTTGGTAGATATTTGCACCAGCCCTTGAGTAGCACAAGACTCAGAATGGCTCCAATATCATACATCAATAATAGCAGTCAGCTGGGAGCATGGCTGCATATTTTCATTTATACTATTTGTAGATCTAGTGGCTGGGAGAAACGACTATGATGACAAGTAACACAAAGCAGAACAATTTCTTCTTGTCTCCTGAACAACACTTAATAGCAGGGGCATGACCAGCAGCCCTGGGAGGGATGTTGCTCACCAGCAGAGTGGAGTCCCACTTGTTATCCCTGCTTAGCTTCCTTTTCCCAGCCCCATCACAACAGCTCTGGCAAAGTAATATCACCCATCAGTTTTCTCTGAGCTGTAGCTTGGCTAAAACAGCAGCTCTCCACTACCTAATATTTTAATGGTACCTTAGTTCAGCTCTGATTCAAGGGGCAAAATGCCCTGAGTGGAGCTGATAACCTTCCCCAGCACCTCACTGTTCCTTTAGGGCTCTGCCATTTAGGCTGCCATTAGGAAAATGCTGTTGAAACACTGCCATCCCACCAGACTGCAGCCTGCAACAACAGAGCCACATGACTTGTGTTTTTTTTCCAGAGAAAAAAAGGAAGGAAAACAACATAAGCATGAAAAAAAATGAAAATACTTTTTTTTTCCCCCTGCACTTTTGAAGTGCTTTTAGCTTTTGTTTCTTTTTTTTTTTTTTTTAATTGATTTTATTGCAGCAGTATTATCAACACTGCTGGACACTTTGCAATATTTACAAGAAGAGAAATCGTTTACAGCTTATCAGCTTCCATCAGTTTTACTGGTGGATTCCTGTAATGTACAAAACTATTAGTCAGATGTGGTGACTGGTTTTGATAAATTACCTTCTTCTGTGGTTAGTGCATGAAAATTAAAAAATAAAAATGCTTCATTATGTTTTTCATGAGATTTTAATAGTTAGCCCCACTAGTACTGAGGTAGCTTGGATTGCATTAATGTTTTCATTATCACTGCAGATTTTCAGGCTTCTCTGGGTGAAGCAGAGTCTCAGAGCCTGGGAAGGAGTGGGGCACAGGAATGTGCTCCTGCAGCCCTTCCTGTTCCACGAAAGCTCTCTCAGCTCTGTTGATTAAACCCCTGCACTTCCCCAAGGATTTCCTTACATCTTTATGGCCACACTCCCATGTCAGAGCCAGGGCAAGTTTACCCAGCCCCAGTGCTTTACCCAGTGACTTACAGTATCAGCTCAGCATTTTATATTTATTTCTCTCAAACCATTCTGTGCACACTTGTCAGGGCTTAACCCCAGCCAGGAACTGAATATCACACAGGCACTTTCTCTCTGCCCCTCCTGGCCCGATCAGGGACATAATCAAAAGGGAGAGAGTGAGAAAATGTGTGAGCTGGTTTAAGGGCAGTTTAATGGGAGTAAGAAGGAAGAAAATACAGTCATGATAGTAATAATGATAAAATATTTAGAATTTATACAAGTGATGCACAATGCAACTGCTCACCACTTGCCAAGATTTGCCCAGGCAGTACCTGAGTAGTGATCCCTGCCCAGCTTTCCCCTCAGTTTATGCACTGAGAGTGATGCCACATGGAATGGGTTATCCCTGTGGTCAGTGGGGATCAGCTGTCCTGTTGGGGTCCCCTCCCAGCTCTCTGTGCATCCCCAGACTTGCTGGCAGGGCATGAGAACATGGAAAAGCCTTTCCTTAATACAAACACTACTTGGCAACAGCTACAAACATCAGTGTCTTACCAGCTTTAAATCTGATGGAAAATAAAAGTAATTACAATGTTTCTTTTTTAAAGAAATGGACACTAGAGTTCAACCTTTGGACCTCAGTATAGGAAGTACATAAATATTGACATGGGTTGTTATTTTTATCTTTTTTAAAAAATAATGTCACATGTAATGGGTGTAGGAATTTCAGCCATTTGGTTTTAATGAGGTTCCCCTCTGCCTTCTAATGTTGTTGCATTTTAGCCAGTTTCAACAAAAAAAAAAAGGGAGAGGAAATCTCCCTTCCATTGGCTTTGGAAAAATCTCCTGGCAGCTGGGCACTCAAACATCCAAACCCTGTTCTTGCTGGGTACAGGGATCAAGGTGTGGTTCATGGAGGGGTAGTTGGAAGTCCAGAGAGGTGCTGACATCAGAAGGAAAATTGGAGAACCTGAAAAACCTCAGCAAAAGAGCTGCAAGTAGTTCAGCTAAAGACTGGAGGGAAGAAGGACGGGAGCAATAAAAATAGCTGGGAAACATCACAAAGGTGAGAGCGAGGGCAAAAGTGCAGAGCAAGCTGAGGTTGTGGACACCTGGCATGGATGTCTGATGTCTGTAGAGGGGCAAGTTAGAGAGGAGAGAAATCTGTAGGTAATCAGGCAGTCCTGGAAGGTGCTTTTAAAAAGTATGATATATTTTAGCATTAATATTTTATGGTTAGGGAGTGTGAATGCCAAAATATAACTAAATCCAGGACAGAACATCCTCCTTCTTTTCTCTGTATGGCCTATAGGGCAAAATTGTGCTATGACTTTTAGTAGTAGATTAAAAGCTGAAGCTCAGGGTGGCACCTGGAGCTCAGATGTGTGACAGGCTGCAGCAGTTCTGGAGAGGATTTAAGGAGCTGTGTGTTCACATCCACTAGCTCAGGCATGGGCATCCCTCTGCATTTCCAGTACTCACTCTGTACCCACAGCAAGTAAACACAAAAAAAAAAAGGAACTGTCACCCGGCAGAGCATTGCATTGGGACAGTGTGAACAGCAGGAAATGTTGGGGGAAAAAAATAAAGATAATCTTGTGTTTTAATGAAATTCTCTTTAGATAAAATGGAGAGAAGGGTCTGTTGTTGAAGGTGGAAATCTCAAAGGCCTCCAGACAGAATAAAGGCTCTGTCCTCTTTGGTTTGCAATGCTTGTCCTCAAGGCACACGTCCCCTGCCTTCCCTTCCTTCTCCTCCCATCTCCAGCAGGAATTTCCAGGAAATAACAGTAAATTCAGAGCTGCTGATGGGGCAGTTTCATTCTGTAATCATTTACATGAATCAAACCTGACAAGGATCACAGGCTAAACAATAGACTGAAACCCCCCCACATAAATACATGGTTGTGTTTACAGGTATTGTTTGCAGTGTATTATGTAAATAATATGAACAGTTGTAGAAGGAAAATGAAAACTTGGTTTTGTATCAAGAATATTGCAAAAATCAAGAATATTGCAAAACTACACTTATTGAAGTCTTACTGACAGATAGAAATGGTTCATGTTGGATTTACTATTTGATTAGAAAAGTATCCCAGCACAAATAAACTTCCCTCTGCAATGTTTGAAAACTACACATGAGGCTTTGGGCTGGACCAGCAGACCTGAAATTTAAACCAGCAGAAATTTTGTTTGAATGAAGAGAAGGAAAGGAACTACCCTGCTTTTCTTAAAGGGGATGATAAATAAGCAATCTAAGACATGAAAAGCAAATCAAGAATCAGATCATAAGTGCTGGGTTGGGTTAAATCTTTACTGAAGTGAGAAAGTAAAGATGCCCAGATGCCCCTGCCTTGGAATCAGGTAGCTGATTGAACAATTTTCCATGCCAGAGCTTGATGGTGTGGATGTGGACCTCCAGCTACCATAGGTGTGAGGGTTCTGTATCAGAGCAAACTGATGCTCAATTTTCTCTACAGCTTGGACAGAGCAAGTCTGAGTCTGCCTCCATTCAAATGTTTGCACAAATATTGTATTTCTTTTGTATATAATGTTGTTTTGGTAATCATAGACACAATCATGGCATGCATTATCCTGGAACTTGTGCTATCCATGACCCAAAGCTCATTTGACAATCCACCGTAAGAAAAAACTACCAGCAGCCATATGCTCTTTGTCAGAAGTCATGCACATCAGTGACACCCTGGCTTCTAAATGAAAACTGTGTTTTTTTCCTGCTTCCAAACCCAGGTCTCAGAGGACCAGAGCAGCTGAAGGAGCTGAGGGTGTCTAGTCTGGAGAAAAGGAGGCTCATGGGGACCATCTCTCTACAACTCCCAGAAAGGAGGGTGTGGCAAAATGTGCCTTGGTCTCTTCTCCCAACTAGCAAGTGAC